AGCTCCAGCGGGGCCCTGTAAGCTTAAAACCGAACGTAACGTTCCTTTCGAAACCACTGTAATCAACTACTGTAGAATTTAGTCACAGCGTTCTTGCGCCATCGGCATCTGGCAAAGTTAACTTCAACAGCATTACCTCTCGAACAAGAACACACTTAAAATCCAGCGCAAAATCTGCCAACTCCGTAAAAGTGTGCACGTCGCCTGACCAGCATCGAGGCAGAAAATAGAGAGAAGGCCTTGGTTGAGCTTGAGCTACAGACAGAACTCTTGAGTGGGGCGGACGAACAGGGGGGCGGAAGGGGCGGCCCACCCCAGGCCTCCAGTCTTGGGGGGCCCCAAATGCCTCCGCGTTCCCCTGATCAAATCCTAAACTAGATTTTAAAAATGTGCTTCGTACCTACATAATTTCATCAAGACCAAAACACTATAGCCATCTAAAAATTTTACGCGGCCCTAATATACTTTTAACCTTGCTGAACGCGTCCAATACATTGGGGGAATTCCCGTCTTTGTAGCGGGTACTTCTTCAGGAATCCTTGAATGAATGAAATGCAAATAATTTACTCTTGTACGCCTACATTTACATTCACTACATTATATTTACATCGAAAAATAAACATTGGCCTCATTTGAATTTATGTATTAAATATCATTACGTTGATATTTAATAGTTAATTAGTAACCGATATTTTCATGACTGAATAAGCCTTTTTTCAAATTGTAAAGTAATAAAAAAGGGGACGTTATTTCCCCGAAATTGTTCACTAATGCAATGGAGGATATATTCAAGAACTGAACTGGAAAGAACGTGGCATCAACATAAATGGCGAACGCATCTCTCACTTGCGATTTGCAGACGACATCGTTCATCATGGCATAAACCATCCAGGACCTACAAAAAATGCTGAATGACCTGGCTGACTCTTCTATACGCATCGGCCTACGGATGAACATGAATAAAACCAAGGTCATGTTTAATGAACATGTTCTACCAGAACCGATTGCAATACACCGTGTATTGCAATCGGTTCCGGTAGAACTCGAAGCCGTTTAAAAATATGAATACCACGGGCAGTCATTGCAATTAGGTAGAAACAACTTTGAGGACGAAGTGAATAGAAGAATTCAGCTAGGTTGGGCAGCGTTTGGGAAGCTACGTCAAATCCTGACATCGTCGATCCCACAGTGCCTAAAGACGAAAGTCTTCAATTAGTGCGTCTTACATGACATACGGAGCCGAGACGTGGACACTGACGGTACGGCTGGTCTACAAGTTCAAAGTCGCTCAGCGCGCTATGGAAAGGGTTATACAGGCAATACTCTGCGTTTCTCTGAAGGATCGCATCAGAAATGAGGTAATCCGACAGAGAACTTGAGTTATCGACATAGCCCACCGGATTAGCAAGTTGAAGTGGCAGTGGGCTGGCCATATTTGCCGAAGAACCGATCACCGTTGGGGTAGACGAGTTCTTGAGTGGAGACCGCGTCTAGGCAAACGTGTAAGACGTCCTCAGGCACGATGAATTGACGATTTGCGCAAGGTGGCTGGCAGGAGCTGGATGCGAGTAGCCCAAAATCGATCTGAGTGGCGTGCAATTGGAGAGGCCTATGTCCAGCAGTGGACTAGGATAGGCTGTTGATGAAACGCGATCTAATCCGTTTAAAGTAATTTCATTAAAAAGTGTTGTAGTATTTTTGATTTTTGTTGCGGTATAAAAAAAAGTAAATGAGTTCAGAGTTGAGTTAGTGCATTTTCAAGTATTTGAAAAAAGTTAATAATTCTTCGTATAATATAGCCTACTTATAATCCGTAGTTTCTAGTCAATATGCACCTATGAGTACATTGCTTTAGTTCTTGCATTTCGCGAGTGGTCCTTATTTTATTTGTAGTGCACGTTATTAGGGACGTAGATAAGTACTTGTTCTCATCGTGAGATTCAACACGGCAAAGTCTCTGTACATTTGTATATCGAAACCTAAACTAATTAAAAATTATCTTCGATCTACAATGGGTCAAGAGCGACTGGTTTACCTAGCCGTGCTATCAATAGAAAAAAAAACAAAAAATTGATTTCAAAGAAGTTATTGAGGAGTTCAGTAAATTGAAGGCACGAAAACACACATAACACCCTACAAAAAATAAGAAAACTATTTTTATATTTATATTTTATCTATTTTTTGTCGATCGTAATCGTATTTTATTTTTCTCATCCATATCCATTCCATATTATAGGTATGTATGTTGATAACCGAAATAATTTAGTTCAAAATTAAATTTTACTTTCCAGATTTTAACAAAATAAACATAAAAAACTACATTTTTTTAAAGCTGGGGGGCCTCATTCATCTTTGCCGCACCGGGCCTCTGACGGACTTAGTCCGCCACTGCCAAAACGGAATACGTCGAAAAATGGTTAGTGGACGCATAATAATTACGTTGTCTTAGATCATAATGATCCAGCTCAACAGTCATTCTTCTTCGTCAGGCTTCTCGAGAGGCCTCTAGAGCGCGGTAGTCTAAAAAAGTGGACTCATCTAATTGGGAGGTTGGAGAGCCGGAACCGTTTGAGACCCGTGGTTTTAACGAGGTCTGCCTTTTCCGCGAGCCACGTCTAGGACCCTGTGTTCCTGATGAACACCCTACGGACATTTATACCACAACAACTACACTACAAAACTATAGTGAGCATTGTAATTTGATCAAAAATAAAATTCATAGCAAGACCTTAGGCACCAACGCCAACCTATCGCAGACCTGGGACGGAAGAGCATGAAGGAGAGCGATGTTCCTAAGTTTGATAGACGTGCACTTGACTAGCTAACAGATGAAACGTTTTGTGTAGGCACATAGTAGATAACAAACAACGAATAACCTTAAAACCATATTTCAATTACTTTTATGGTATAATTTATAGGAAAATACCAAATATCATTGATGATATCTGTTCTTATTATATTTCTTCTCGAATGTCACTCAACATCTCGTTTGTTGCACTAGATTTTAAAAGATTAAATAACACGTTTCAATGTTCCTTTTATTTCTACATTACCTACACTTTCTCAGTTAAACCAACAGTCATATTTATGATAAAAGTAAATGAAGTAAAATAACCAAATAAACGAAATTATCAAAACCCAACCACCCAACAACTTGTTAATTCGTAACCACAAAGTACAGCTCTAATATGGTAATAAGGTATTATTAAAACTTAAAAAGCGAGTTTACGATTCATTAGATAGACTCTTTCGACAAATGCTGAATAAGTTGTTTTCATAATAGCACTGCTAGATTTTAAAATTTTCTTTTGTTAATTTTGTGAGTAATATTTTGAGTTCTTTTTTCATTATTTGCTTTTCGGTATTTGGAAGAATAGTTTGCAATATTCGACCGAATGTCAAAAAAAAGGGGCCCGATTAGACGAAATCCGAATAGTTGCCGTATATTCGTGGCAGCTGTATTAATAACTCACTTAGTGCTCGATGCAACAATCTACTACTTATTTCAAATCGGACCAGTATTTCCTGAGATAAGCGCGTTCAACCAAACTCTTCAGCTTTTTAATATTAGTATAGATAATTAAAAAAGTAACATTGCAAAGACTTAAAACTGGAGCTGTTCCCAAACTTTGAATGCATTATAATACTACTAAATTGAAGAGTAGTGATAAAGCAAATCATTTACGTTGGAATGTGAAATTTTGTAATCAGATTGGTTACACCGGCCATCTTTACCCTCGATAAAAGGGTATTAGAAACATTGGTGTATTTGTATACCTTTTGCCTCAGAGGAAGTTGAATAGAGTTTAGGTTTGGTCTCTGTCTCTCCGTTTCTGTCGCGCGGTTGCCAGTTTATTTAATACAACAAACACCTTTTGAATGGGTAATAAGCGCAATTTTGTTACATTTATTTTAATTTTTCCTTTACATGCGTCATGGTCAGAAAATAGATTTCTTATAATTTTGTGGAACATATGAAATAAATATTTAGTAATTGAGGTTATGTTTTTACGAATTTGAGCTCCTAATAAACGCCCCAAATGAAAGAAGCTCGTTGGGCCGCTAGAGCCGCCCCTGTGTTTCAGAAATGCTAAGTTAGTTTGTTTAAGTCTGAACAATTTGCTAGTATCTTGAACGTGAATGTACGTTGACCGCTCTGCCCTGCTAATTGTACTCGCAGTAATCGACATTTTTGTGATTTTGCAAAAATTATATCCCAAGGAGATAATCTATACGTAAAAAATATATTTACAAGTTTTTTCTTATTAAAAACATGTTTTTTATTCAACATGAAACGCAGTACTTGTACCTAAACTTAATTTGTGCTAAAAAGATCTGCAGCATTAAGCATGTGCCAGAAGATTATACAATACTTGCTACATTTACTGTGTATTAATTTAGCATATAACTTTCTTGCAATGGATACTAACTAAACCCAAAAGCAGTACTTACCATTACTGCTTTTGAATGTAGCAAGAATAACAAAGAGCTACTCTTGCGACGCTAAAACTAAACGCAATATTCACTATTACTAATCTAGTAATAAAAACAGTACTGCATTTAGTCTTAGTGATACTGTAATGCTCGCAAGCCCAGAAAGTTGATGTAAATGCAGTACTTCAGTGCATTTTATCCAAAAATGCAATAAAGAAAAAAATGTCAATAGAAAGCTCAATTTTTTTATAATTTTTAGGTTAAATTTTAAAATATGTAAGATATCAATAAATATGATTATCGCTCACCATTTTGCAAGTTCTACGATTGCAATAAGGAGGAGCTAGAATGCATGCAATCCAATAGGGAAATATATAACGCAAGCGTTTGTTAACAAGCCGCCAGACGCGTTGACTACAGCCGCATAAACATGGTCACAGTTAATTCCACCGCGGTCTGAAAGATTTCCGTCACATCAGAATCGTTTTAAGAATAGACTTTTTTATTTGGACTTAGAACTCGGTGAATTGTGTGATTGTGATTGAACTGTTTTTGTTTTATTCACAATGATTCTCATCCTAGCAAGTGTTGCGTTGACATTATGGATAGTGATGTTCCGATACAGAAGGCAGCACATGTACAAACTAGCTTCCAAAATACCACCTCCGGTCAAAGAGATGCCCCTTATCGGAATTGCACACAAGTTAATCGGAAGCCCTGAGCGTAAGTTTTACAAGTATTTTATTATAAATAACTTTTTCCAACGGGTTTAAATGCGTTTCTAATATTTTTTTAGATAACTCGCCGTTTCTCATCCTTTTCAGGACCTCGTAAATATATTAAATTACCATTAATGAGGTTTATGTAGAAAAGTTAGGGAAAACAAATTAATATTCAGCGATCTGTGGCCGACTAATATTCTAAGTAACCGCGTTATAATAAATGACCGGCAAAAACACCCAAAACATAGCGAAAAAGATATCCAGTTTGACAAACAAATGAGACATGCTCTCATATTTTTTTTCTTAAAATGGATCTTGGAATAACTAACTAAACTTCCGAATAAAATACTGACCTATGACAAAATTACCTACTAAGTTCACAAATGTACCTATACCGGGTACTCGAATTATTAATTTGACTAAAGATATAAATGATTTATTTTTTTATACTTATATACTTTCTTTAAACAAGTAACTGCTACATGTTTTTTTTTATACTTTTCTGTTTTTTGGCGGTTTATTTTTTTTACTAAAAATTTTAATTGCCTGGTCCGCGTGGATTTTTTTCTAGTAAACTTTTCTTTAGATTTGAACATCTAGCAGTTAAATGCTTTAAAAAAATAAAAAAATAACTATAATTGCTATTTCTTCTTTCAAATGTTTAATACTTGAAAAAGTATTCATTTGACATTGTGGGTTACCTACAATGCGAAGAGACGGCGCTGCCTTGCAGCTTAAGGCTAGGAAAAATTTCGACGCGGCTAATAGAGCTGTGTTAGCATAATGTCCGCTGCTTGGTCCTCGTGGAATTTTTTCTAGTTATATTTTCTTTAGATTTAAACATCAAGCAGTTACATGCTATAAAAATAATAAAAATTAAAAATTATAAAGTGGAAGTAATTTCAAAATGACAAATTGTTTGGGAACTATAACAAATAAAATGGTATAAAAACAATACCGCTAACTAATAGCATTTATATTAATTTTATTAATTTAAAATTTACGTAAAAAAAATATCAACTCCATAAACAAAATAAAATAATTGGTTTTCCTTCTATATGGAAAAACACACAATAGAATAGACGCTACGCAAGTACGCGCTTTTCAAAAATTTCATTAAGCCCTACAGCGCATGCGCCGAAAGCTCAAAGCGCGGGAAACACTAATTAAAAAAAAAGGAAATGGAAATAGTCGTTTAATTAATATGTGTGAAATAGCCCATTACGGAACAGCTGAAGTTAAAAAAATTTTTTTTTAAAACTACATACAATTTTTTTTAAATATATTTTATACTGTTTGAAAAAAGTTCCAATAACTGAGGTTTAGGTATATCATGTTATTTTGATAGATTATAGTCGCGGCACGATATAATATATGTTAGCCATTTTGACACATTGCAATAGTGATGCAAAAAGTCAACCTGTTATCGAAAAAAATACCCTACATAATCAAATATGACTCACAAGTAAGTATTAGTTTTTTTGTATTTTTTTACCAATATTGCAAAAAGTTGCTGATTATATAGATTGAGTAAAACGAAAATTTAATTAATTAAAATTTATAATTTCATGTTTTTACAATTTTAATTTCGAGCAACACAATTTCAAATATAGAACTAGCTCGCATTCAAAATATGAAACTTCTTGAACGCAGAAACGTCAAAACGCCCATCATAGCGCATATCACCGCTACTATACATACATGTACATAGAAAAATATTATAAATAAATACGAAAACATATACTAAAATTCAAAATTAACATTGAGAATAATACGTTACCACTTAGTTCGTAAGTTCAAAAATGTATTACATTTTCTACTATGTATTAAAACGATATTTTAATAATAAACTGAGTTTTATTTTATTTTTATCTTTGTTCTCCTTAACAATATAAAAACAAGGGACTTTGTCGAAAAATAGTAAAATATTCTAGATAACCAAATTCTACCTGGTTTTAGATTCAATAATGAATACGACTGTTCTGACTTTTAACGCCTAAAGTAGATACCGATGTCGTAGCATACCCGTGGTAAGAAAAAATCATGATGGGGGATGTATGTAAAAGTTATTGTTACAAGTACATTTTCATAAGTTTCTGCGTAACCTACTCAGAATAGTATTTTCAGTTTAAAGTTAAAATAGCACCTCAGTATGAAATATGACAGGTGATTTATAATAATATTAAGCTAACAAAATATTTCTGTCGATGTTGAACATTAAAAAAAAAACAAATATAACATAGCAAAGTTAGTATATACTTAGTAAAGTTCTGATAATAATTAAAAATATACATTTTCTTATTATTTTATTAATATTTTAAAGCATTTTACTGCTAGATGTTTGAATGTAAAGAAAATTTCAATAGATTTTTTTTTCTAGTAAAATTTTAGTTCTTTTATTATACAGTTAAGTAAACCATATTTATCTTATATTTTTAACACTATTTATCATTTTAAAACGTGAATCAAAAACAAATACGACGTGAATTTTCCGCGTGCCCTGCTCTTGAGTACTGGCACTGACGTGTGCGTACGTGACAGGCAGCCAGTGCTCACTTACATACGAGTGTCTTGCTTGTGGTAGTTAAACGATCGCAGCGCGGTTGTATTAAGCTTTGTCTCTGTACGTACTCGTATCTCTACTCAAATGGTCATACCTCAATGTGCAGGAACTGACCTTAATTTCCGCGTGCAGCAATGCGACGTAAGTAGTGCAATGCCTGTCTTATTACTGCTCAAATAGTTTTATAAATAAAATAGATATATAAATATTATAATCTCACGTCTTTCAGGTACGACACGTACGGGAACGATTTCGATGAACGGGCAAAAATGTATGGAAGCCTGCCTAGGAATAGGGACACGAAAAAAGTATCGATACTTTGTGGTATCGAGTACTTTTCCTTTCGATACCGATACTTATGTACTCGATACTTTGTATTCGATGCTTTTACTAAATGAGTACTTTTTGGCAAGTATCGATACCTTTAAAATTTTGGATAAGCGCCTCATATTGATGGCAACGCCATCTTGTTAAATCATAGCAAACCTTCTAAAACGTTCCATAGGGTATTTGACAAGTTTTAGGCAACGATCTCACGTTATTGACTAATGTTTATGGAGTCCGTAAAAAGTGGATATTCATCATTCTATCGTGTATTTCAGTAAAAATAACCAAATCAAAAACTCAATTTTTAAGTTGCCGCGAAAACGTTTCTCTGGGCAATATGGCTTCTTACTAGTGTGTGACGTCACACGACTGTTATTAAAACGTCAAACGATACAATGTAATGTCACTTTGACCGGAAGTTTACTTGCGTGTGACGTCATTTAAGCCTCCGCCAATCCCAAGCGTTTTGGGTTACGTGACAATAGATAAGAAAACTAATATCTTTTTCGTTATTTTGGCACTTTATTTTTAATACTGTCAAATGCCCTATTGCGTTTTTATAAAGTCAGTAACTGACATATTCAAATTCTTTCCAATCTGTGACTGTCTTTGTTTTGTTTCATAGTTATTTATTTAGCGACCATATTGTTAGGAACTGTGATTGATTCGCCGTTTATTGTGCTTTTCGCTTGACTGTATTTGATTTATTCAAGTGTAACACTATTATTCTGTCTGTGCTGTGTATACCTATTTGAAACCACCTGAAAAAAAGACGGACGTAACCTCTTCTATAATTATAATCTTGAGTAAAGCATGCCAATGGCAGCCGTTAACTACATGTCAGATTCAAGTTAGCGTAAGTGGGTATAATTTTTTTTAATGATTAAAATTCAAGAAAAGTAAGTTTAATTTGAAACAAATCTGAAAAGTTTCATACTTTTAAATTGTTTAAGATTTCGATCTTTTTAATTAACATTGTACCTAATTATGAATGTAATATTAATGAACACTTTTTTAGTGTCAGAAATCACAGCTATTTTTTCATTACATAATATAGAAATTTTTGAATTTACATGTCATTTTTTGTTTTTGATTATACGTACTATATTAAAATTCGATTCTTTTTCTTTCTATTTTAACACCGAGGGGGGGGGGGGGGGGGTTGCTCATCAGGCCACAGAGGCTCCGATAAGGCCCTATGAAATGTACTCGATACTTTGAAGTATCGATACTTTTGTTTCGATACTTTTACGAGTACGATACTTTTTTACCGATACTACTCATGAGTACAGTATCGATACTTTCTATTCGATATCGTGTCCCTACCTAGGAACCAATAATAACATGCGACATATCATTTGAAATACTTTTTATGTACCTATAATGCGAAGTGATGGCGCTGCCTTGCATCTTAAGAATAGCTAGAAGAATTTCGACGCGGTCCGTGAGGGCCGCGGTAGCATAATTGGTCAGTGCATTCGCCTGGATTGCGAAAGGTGCGGGTTCGAGTCCCGTCTGCTGCCTAGTCCGCGTGAATTTTTTTCTAGTTATATTTTCTTTAGATTTAAACATCAAGCAGTTACATGCTTTAAAATAATAAAAATTATACTTTTTATGTACTTTAAGTGGTGTGTGAAAAAAGTTTGACGCAAAAAGACTTCATTCATAAAAATAGAAGTGTTTATTTTTAAGTTATTCATCAATTAATTTTAGTTTATTTTGTAAAACTAACATAGTGAAGTACCTATTAAAAAACTAGTTAAGTGAGAGTTGTACTCGCACACTAAGGGTTCTGTACATATAAATTCCTTTAGCACTGATTGATGCTTTTACATTTAATCCAAACAATGCACGGAAAAATCGGGAATACCCGGAAATTTTGATAAACGGCACCAATTTACACCAAATTTGGATTTCGGTTCTACATACCCTCTACTTTAAATAATGTGCCGAGGCTTGCTATTTTCCTGGGGGTGAATGCCACCCCTTCTCGGGGATGACATTTATTTTTATTAAAAAAGTAAGTATGGGCATGAATAGATTGAATAATTCTAAGCAATTTTTATTCTTTAAAGTTTTTACTGAAAGTCTACTTTTCGTCTTATTCGCTA